GTGACTTTGAAAATTCCTAGGTTTCAACTTTGGTGTTCAGAAGGGCAAAAATCCTGAATAAAACAGAAAACATATAGAAAAACTGATACCATCGTGTAGAGCTGAACCTGAGCTTTCAGAATATATATAACACTTATGGGTTCCGTCGAGTACTTCTGTAGATATGGCGTATCAAAGTTGGTGAACTCCAGCCCTGTTGATCGAAAAGGGCCAAATCTAAATTTGATTTAAACAGCTAAATTCAAAAGAACAATTTTTGTATTTTGTATGAGAAGGGTGCGCTTTTATTAGAGTATTTACGGTTGTAAAGAAATATTCTTTGCGTGCTTTGGTAAGGAGCCAGATTTAGAGAGGTAAGGAGCCAAATCTAGAGAGAGAAGGAACCAAATTTAGAGAAAAACCGTTCAGTTTCAAGGTTTGATTAGTGTAAAGAAATATTCTTTGTGTGCTTGGTACTCTTCACTCAAGACACGTTATTTCTTGTTTCAAGATATCTGATCTCACTTGAACTAAAACACTTTATTCAATAGCCGACTGACTCGGAATCTTTGGGCTCTCACTTGAGCAACTTTCACACAAGATCGACAATTGAATTAAAAGTGACGATAAAAACAGAAACAATTTCGTCCTATTTAGGACACAACTTTCACACAAATGAGAGGAAAGCAGAAAAGAAAATGAAAGATAACAAAAAACAAAATGAACAACAGTTGCCTTATATAGGCTTTAACACAAGATACTCAGCTAACAAGCTACAAAACAATAAATGATTTTGGGCGCGAAATAGAATAAAAGCGCACCGGTTTCCTCAATACTTTTCCAATTTTTAGGCTGTCAGAGTTAGATAACTTTTAGTGGCTATTCGCCACAACGGTATTTGAATTCGTAAAATAGCTTATTTTGTTGTTTTATTGATTTTTCCTTTATTTATATGTTAGTGTTCTTTTTAGATGGTGCCCCGGTATGGGAAGGGTGCGCTTCTATTAGAGTATTTACGGTTTCCCCTACGCGGAAACGAAAAGCAGTCAAAAGCAATTTGAAAAAAGGACGGATCGTCAATAGGCTTATGCCAAAAATCTTACGAAACAATAAAGTGATAGGAAAGAGAAAAGATAAGAAGATTCAAAAAAACTCTTCTTTTGCCACTTCAATTTAGAAAAATTTAGGCGAATGGCTCTTGTATCTTATCGTTAAGCTAAGAAATTTAAAAAATTGTAAAAACGGTGGTTTCTTTCTTATCAAACTAATAGATTTTTAACAGGAATGATCATTTTTGGAATGCATTTAAAAGATTTTTCTATGAAAGCACGAATCTAAAGAATTTAAAATGTTAAAAAACAAAAACTATTGTAGAAATTGTGTTGCCTCTGAAATGTCATTCAAGAAAAATCTATAATTTATTCAAAGTTCTCAATGGTTTCCTTCAGCGATGGTCCATCATATCCTCCAATCCATTCCAAATTCACCAAACAATATGGTGCCATTTTTGCTTCTCCAATCGTTTCTTCGTAGTTCAAGAGCCGATTCTCATTCTTGAGCACAAATTGATCAAAAACTAGATGTTCCTTTGCCCATTCCCTGATCGATTCAATCGGCTCATAGACACCAAAAGTACCTTGAAGAACGAAATGATCGGGAAGTTCAATCCTAACCAATGAATACTTATATTTATAGCATTTCAAAAGCACTTTGTCCATTTCTCTCATTTCTTTTGTCCTCAATGCATCGAATTTCTCCTCAAAATCTCTTGGTAATTCTGGACAAACCAATTTGTATCCAGCTGGTATTTTAAAAGTTTTTGTATCTCTTGCCAATTTAAGACGAATCGGTTCTTCTTTCACAATTTTCCTCCAATCAGCTAAAAGTTTCTCAATGTCAATACTTTGACTTTTAGATAAGAATAGGCATTTCTCAAGTGGATCTCCATCTTGAATCTCCTCAAATCCCAAGGCTAACAGAATCTCGAAACAGCCACTAATCGCCAGAATTTTCTCCTGAACTTTCGGATTTTTCATCCTAATCTGCCGATATCTTTTCTCATTCGGGAATTCAATTATTTTACTTAAAAGTTTCTTTATCGTTTCCACAGCTTCTTCACATCGCTTTTCACTGTTAAATGCGTAAAGTAAGCGAATTGCTGAACATAAATCACTGGGATTTGTCTTGGATTGATTCAAAAGATGAGATTTCACCTTTTCTTGTAGTTCTTCTTTACTTAAAAGAAGTTTTTCTTCAAGAAGGACCGATGTAAAGTAAACACCATCGACTGGGGATCCCGAGTAGTCTTTTTTGGGCTTTTCAAGTGACCTTTCAAATGATGATAGATTATTCTCTATTCCTGTTTGAGGTGTTCTACTACTTTCAAATGCTTCCCAAATATCTTCATACGATGAGTCAGTCTCTTCATGTCTTTGAATACATTTCGGCTCTTCAAGTGGTCTTTCAAATAAGGATAGATTAGTCTCTATTCCTGTTTGAGGTGTTCTACTACATTCAAATGCTTCATTCGATGAGTCAGTCTCTTCTTGCCTTTGAATACATTTCGGCTCTTCAAGTGGTCTTGCAAATGTTAAAAGATTATTCCCTATTCTTGTTTGCGGTGTTCTACTACTTTCTAATGCTTCATTCGATGTTTCTTCATTGGATGAGTCAGTCTCTTCTTGTCTTTGAATACATTTGCTAATATTGAGGCCCATTCTTGTCAGCTCCTAAAAATACAGCCTTTCTTAACTTTTTTTTACACTAAACATTTCAAAAGCTTGTATTTAAAGCAAGCAATTAAAAAACTAAATGAAAGAATACAGCTTTTCTTAGCTTTTCTTAACTTAAGCTGTAAACTCAGTGCTTTAATGTCAATTTTCAGGCACTTACCTTGAGAAATGTTCCACTTTGGACGACAATCAGATTAAAATCAAATTTACGGATAAGCAATATTGTGTCTCTCAAAATAAAAGCAATCGAAACTTTCTATTTGATCAGTTTTTAACAAGAGGCGGAGTCCGAGAAACGAATAATCTTGCATCATAAAAGATTCTTTCGCAAGAAAGCATTAGTAAGAAAATCTTTGCGAAATGAAAATACTGGTTGATGAGAAAAAGGCATTTAATTGTGGTAAGCTTGATGGAAAAAGCACAATCATTTTCTGAGTTGTGTAAAATTCAAAGGAATTAGTCACTTTAAAGCCAATTCCTCACTTTTTGGCAGACAACTGTTCAACCGTCACCTCCTATTGTTTGTTTCAGAATCAACGAGTTTTCCCAAATGAAAAGTTTGATAAATCTTTTTCTGACATAATCTTTTCTAACTTTTTTTCTACAAAAAAACAATTGGTTATTGGCAAAAGTGTGTCTTAATCTTTGCGAAAATTTAGATTGACTAAATTTAGACTGACTTCTGGGTTTCTACGCCGATTTTACCTTTGGAATTTTCTATTTGAAACAATCTTTGAAAAAGAATGATAAAGGGAAAGATGATGGGAATGAGAACCGATCGAAATTTGATAAGGATCACTACGTGTATTTCTAGGTGGATATAGCCAGATGTAGAATTTCATTTAGTTTCTAAAAATCAAAAAGAAAGCAAAAAATTCAATTACAGATACAGATACAGACATGGCAAGAAGATCTAATTCATTTACAGATACCGTAATAATTCTAATAGAAGACCAGTCTCTAATAGAAGACCAGTCTCCAATAGAAGACCACCCCCTTGACCCCTTGAAATCGGGACTTTTAAAAACTTCTGTTCAAGTAGAATGAAAGATTTGGGTCCAGATAGTAATATTTTAGCCCCGGCAGTAAAATTGGAGACGTAGTTTTTGAAAAAAATTAAAAAATAACTTTTTGGAAAAATTTCATGTGGTCCCCTACATGGATTTTTTTGAAAGATTTTCTATGGAGTCCGGGCAAGAAAATAATTTCACTTTTAGACATGTTTTTGGCATGTTTTGGGGCAAGGGCTATCGTTTGAAATAGTTTTTAACTATTTTTAATTTTTTTGATTCATGTGGGGGACCTTTACCTACTTTTTTGACTCACCAATTTTGGGGGGGTTGAAAATTAGAAGACCATGGTCTTCTATTAGAATTATTACGGTACTTTGAATTTTTCTACAGACGAGAAGATACCAGACTTGGAGGAAATTTCAGAAAAACGATCATTCTTCTCAATGTGACTGCTTCTTTGATTAAAATTGATTCCAGCTTCGTTTCAGGGACTTCATTTAGTTTTAGTTTTAGCTATAAACTTTAAAATTTTCTTTACTTTTACAGCATTTGGTGGAATGACGATTCTCTTGTTGATTTATGATTATAATTGACATTAGACAGATAAGAAAAAGGGGCTTCTTTTCTGTTGGATTCTTCTTTTCACTTTAATTCAATTTCTAACAAGTTTATGTTCTTTCAAATAATTCTTCCTTTGATTTTCGAGAAAATCGCTTTCTTTTGCTAAATCAAGGCAATCAAGAGTAGTTTTAAAATCCAGTTTTTAGCAAAATGCTCACAAAGTTTAAACATCAAGCCCGACTTGGATTTTTAGTGGTTAAAATCCAACCATTCAAAAGAAAACGGAATCAGAATCTATGCTAAATGAAAATCTATGCATAAGAAAATATTCTACAGCTCAAAATCTTCCCTATTTAGCCAGTTGTGTGTGTTTCTTTTGGCTAGAATTGAATCATTCAAACGTAAAAGGGAATCAGAATCTATGATAAATGAAAGCGTAAATAACTATCAAAAGTTTTGACGAGTTATGCAATTAAAGAGTTTGAAAAATTTTCATAAATTTCATTTCATAACAATTCGACAGAAAGTTGATCAAAATTGTATTCCTTGACCATTCCTTGACAAAATTGTATTCCTATTCCTTGACAATTCCTTGACCCAAAAGATCATTTTACCCTCAATAACTAAAGGACAACTCTCAGATTTCTTTTTCTATGTTTTTCCCAAAAAGATCATTAGGAAATCATCAAAAAATAGAAAATTTCCGTCAGAATCGATGTCTCCATGGTTGCCAATTGTTTTGCGTATCTCTTCCTTCATTTCCTATTCGTCTAGGTTTCTTTTTTCTTAGACTTTTGAAAGATTCTTAAGTATATCTTTATCTTAAAACATCTAAGCTTTCTGTAAAGTTTGCCTTTTCCATTTTTTGACTACTAAATCAAAATCAAAATCACCTAAACGCATGAAATTTAGCCTGAACATGTCCTTCGGATTCCCCGAGTCAACGATTTGTGCTCTTCGTGAGATGTGTGAATCGTTTGATGTGGATCGAATTGGATACATTTCGTCGATTCAATTGATGCAAGCAATGAATGGAGTTACTGGGATGCAGTTGTCAAAACATCAAATTGATGGATTGCTTGATGAAACGAATACGAATGGAGAGGGACAAGTCAATTATGAAGTTTTTTTGAAGATGGTCAGTTGAAAAAACAATTAAATAGTCAAATTCATTACAAGTTCTTGGCTTTTTTTTTTCTTAACTGTATTTGGCCTCAACAAATGACTATTTTTTTGAATAAAGTCTTAAACAACTAATAAAACTGAACAAAGTAAACTACAAGTCGAACAAAATGAGGTCAAATTTGGTTCAATAAAAAGAAAAACAGTTGAATGGCAAAGAATTTTCAGATCTTCAGATTAAAAGTTTGAAAGGAATTCAATTCTTTGACAAAACAATATTTAAAACAACATAAAAAGATTTAAATAAACGCAAAATTTGACTTGTTATTTATAAAAGAATCTCGTATCATTTCCCGCGATCGGGCAAAGAAATTAAATAAATTGTGATCTTACTATCAGATTTAAAAACATTTATCTATTCCTCCATTTATCTCTTTTCCCCAACCATCTAGAAAACATCAAAACAGGTAAAGAATTTTCAGATCTTCCGATTAAAAGTTTGGAAAGAATTCAATTTTGTTACAGAAAAATAAAGAATTCCGTAACATTTCCCGCGATTTGGCAAAGAAATTAAATAAATTGTGATTTTATTATCAGATTTAAAAACATTTATCCCTTTTCCCCAATAGAAATCATCAAATTTGTGAAAATGAAAGGGGCAAGGGAGTTATGAAGAATTTTTGAAGATGATCAGTTCAAAAAAAGCATTTTCAAATTCATTACAAGTTCTTAGCTTTTTTTTTTCTTAACTGTATTTGGCCTCAAGAAATGACTATTTTTAAAATAAAGTCTTAAACAACCAATAAAACTGAACAACGTAAACTACAAGTCGAACAAAATGAGGTCAAATTTGGTTCAATAAAAAGAAAAAGAGTCAAATGGTAAAGAATTCTCAGATCTTTAGATTAAAAGTTTGAAAAGAATTCAATTCTGTTACAGAACAATATTTAAAATATGAATAATAATACTTTATTCAAACGATAAAGTGAAAGAAATCATAGAGAAATGCACAGTGATACTTAATCATACAATACATACTGAAATCAATAAGGCAATTACTTACGGCAAAGAGCCACTAGATCTAAAGCATCGATACGTTTCTTGAATATGAAAAGCGACTGAATTTCTCGTATGTCGTTTGGGAGCAAGTTCCATAATCCATAATCCATAATATTTAAAACATATAAAGATTTGAATAAACGCAAAATTTGACTTGTTATTTATGTTATGACTTGTTATAAAAGAATCCCGCATCATTTCCCGCAATTTAATAATAATACTTTATTCAAACGATAAAGTGAAAGAAATCATAGAGAAATGCACAGTGATACTTAATCATACAATACATACTGAAATCAATAAGCCAGTTACTTACGGCAAAGAGCCACTAGATCTAAAGCATCGATACGTTTCTTGAATATGAAAAGCGACTGAATTTCTCGTATGTCGTTTGGGAGCAAGTTCCATAATCTAGCGGCTCTAACGGGAAATGAATTTGATAAAGAGGCATTGGAAGCAAAGGGAATTTGCAAAAGGAATGAGCCACTTCTGGGCCCTGACCGCGGTTTAAATTTGAAAAAGTCTATAAACAAAGGGCTAATCTGTTTACAACGGAGGATTTTTTATATATATATATTCATACTTTATTCAGGACATGAAATAAAGCGTAATCAGTCAGACAATACACAAATCTACACATAAATACATAGAGAAAGATGAGATATTTTACTCGGCGATGTGGAGGCGGGGAGAAAAGAAGATAGATAGAAGATAGGCTTCTTGCTTTAATAACCTCTTTAATAATAAGTTTCGACTAAATCAATGACAAAGCGACGATGCTGTAAAGTTTTTAGTTCAAAAAAAAGCAAGTAAAATATATAAAGATTTGAATAAACGCAAAATTTTACTTGTTATTTATGTTATGACTTGTTATAAAAGAACCCCGTATTTTAAGAAGTTTTAAGAAGTTACTTTTCGTGCCATTTCGATCATTTGAAAGTTCCACTGGTTTTCCAAAAGGAAGCTTCGTCAAATTCTTTTTATATCGTTAAAAAGAGAATATATTGGGGCTTCTAAAAATACGAATCAACCCGGATCATCTTTATTTACTGTCGTTGTATGATGGTTTTTATGACCCGCAGTTTCTTTTGCAAGCAAAGAAATTGAATAAATTGTGATCTTATTATCAGATTTAACAACATTTATTTATTCCTCCATTTATCTCTTTTCTCAAATCATTTAGAAATCATCAAAACAGGTAAAGAATTTCCAGCTCTGAAGATTATAATTTTGGAAAGAATTCAATTCCGTTGCAGAACAATATTTAAAACATATAAAAAGATTTAAACAAATATGTATATAACTTCTGCCTTTTGCCCTCGTTCGCCCAAACGCAAGAGATTTGGAACGAAAGTTGTAGCATGTGCTTTAGAAAGTCCCTCATGCGTTGGAGGAAAGTGCGATTGTGGCCTAGTGGAATAAACGTCTTGGATACAGGGCACAGTTACATTTATTTCCTTTGATGGAAATTTGTATGGGAAAACCAAGTTCTAACCAGACTTCCGACTCGGTCGTTGATCAAAACTTTATACACGCAATATAAAAATGTCAATGTCAAAAAAAAAATGCCTAGTGAATAAACGTCTTGTGTCAGGCGTTTGGGGCAAAAGTTATATATGTCGTAGCCGATTATGAATGAAATTTTTTGGCAAATCTTTCTAGGGAGAGCAACCCTTTAACGTATGAGGACAATATTATATCATCTTGTAGCGAATTGAATTCTGCGTCGATTGGTACCAAATTTGTGAGTTTAGGTTAAAAATTGCCGGCGCTACAACGTTTCATTCAAAATCGGCGGGACCCCCGTAGCCGATTATGAATGAGTGGGTCTAGGAGCGTCCAATCATCAAATATTTAGTATCATTCAACGCAGAATCATTGATAATTATGTTAAATTTTTAAAATTAGCAAGATTTAATAAAAAGAAAAAAAAATTAGAGCAAAAAAACTGTTTGTTCAAGAGAAAACTTTGAAACCCCATAATTTGTGTTCTTTTCATCAAATCTTGCTAATTTTAAAAATTTAACATAATTATCAATGATTCTGCGTTGAATGATACTAAATACTTGATGATTGGACGCTCCTAGACCCACTCATTCATAATCGGCTACGACATATACACATTCGTGATCAGCATCGTCGATTCTATAAGATCCATTTGATCTCAGCTCAATCCCAGATGCCGATCTGAAGGACTTTCCTTGTCAGAGGGGAATCAGAAAACGTAAATAAGCATCAAAGCATCAAAAAGCGCTAAACAAGACGAGAAAGAGCTTCTTAAAAGTCTGTATTATGTCTGTCGGCAGTATAGAGCAGCTTTTTTATACATTTTTTGAAACTTTTTATTAGCCATATTAAAAGAAAAAGTAGTACATTTGATGTTTTCAGACTAGTTTTCTCTTCTGATGGCGAGTATGGCGGTGAGGGGCACTTCGCTGAACAAAAATTTCACGTCGATATCATTCTGAAGACCTTCACTCATCTACAACCACCAAATTGTCCGGCAATCTTTCAAAAACTCGTTTCAAAGTAAATGCTTAATCAGTGAAAATCCAATGCGTAACTCTTTAGTTGTGTGAGTTTTGATCGTTTCGAGAGACCGACAGCCGAAGAAGTGTTGAAAGAGTTGAATAAGAATGCAGCTGCATGGAAAGAGTATCACTTTTTGCCAATCATTGAAGTGGATCGGACAAGTTTATTACGGCCAATTGGGTTTGATGGTACGACAAACCAAGTGACAGTCTATCCAGAAATCTCCGATCTAAGCACAATTTCTCTTTCTCCAAAAGAATCTAAAGCTAGTAAAGGATTTGATGAAGAGAAATCACTGTCTTTTGATTCCCTCAAACTCGCCGATGACCGAAAAGGGATAAACTCTCGTAGAAATCTCGTTCAACAGTTGAAAAACAAATTTGAAACTTTAACTCAAAGCGAAAAAACAGATTTCTATAAAACTGTGGAAGAAATTCTCAACAAAATGTCTCAGAAAATCCATAAAATGACAGGTTTTGAGTGGGAGACGAGCCTAAGAGTTGATAATGATCAACAAAAACCCGATGACATTCGGAAAATCTTTGAAAATTTGCTATTAAACGATTTTCGGAATCAAGGTCGAGAGTTATGTACAGCTTATTTATTGTCAACGAATAATCCCCGATTGCACTACTCTTTATGGAAAAATTATCGTATTATTCATCAACGAATCGAGGCTTTAGAGGAAATGAAAAGATTAACGTATACAACGCGATTCTATCTCGATCATTATATAGCATTTTTGAGTAAAGAAGAATGGCTATTTATTGATATGGGATATCCATTATTTGTAAAGAAAAATTTGGGAGAAGCCTCACTTTTTAGAGGCTCTTGGTTGGATGATGAGAAAAAGATTTTCCTTATTGAGAGTCGAACTTTGTATGAGAGTTGGGAGAGCTCATTGGGTGAGGGACAAAAGAGAGTTGATGAGGTGGATGAATTACACTATTGTGGTCAATATCCCGTTGACTTTTATATGTTCATCGATGCGCTGAAGAAAGAAAGAGAGAAATTGGCACTTCAAGTTCAAATTCATATCAAAAAATGGGTGAAAATTGAGGAAATTGAGGTGTTAAAGATCAAAGTGCCATCAATTGCAGAGTTGCTTCCAATTAAAGGGTATTTCTTTCAGAAAAGAAACCCACCACGGCATCAATGCACTCACCGACCAAAATGTGATCTTATTTCTTTCCCACGGGACACGAATCAGCGAATTCACACAAGATACCATGATATAAAAGAGGATAAACTTCAAATTTCGATCTATAAATGTTCCGATCTTGATCTTGATCTTGATCTTGATTACCTACACGAATTCTTTGAGATAATTGATGGATTAAAGATCCCACTCTCGATGAATACTGACTCATTTTATGGACAAATCATTCATTCATTTGAAAATCCAAATCTGAAATCTCCATTTTTAGAGAAATCTTTCCTTTTCCTTCAAATACCAAACTTTTTAAAGACTAATGGAGATTATTTGGTTATTTTAGATCTACCAATTCATTATCGAGACGATGAAAAGATTATCTGTTTCACTTATGCGAGAGAAAAAGAGAGAAGTTATCGGGTTACTTTTTATCAAATTCCTTCCAGAACTCTAGACGAACAACTAGCAAAAACGCCAAATCGAAAGAAATCTTTCCTTCAAGCATTTTTCTATGATGAACAAGTGTATTTTCAAGTGTTACCTCGTTGAATTCATTTGATTTATTGTACTTTTGGAATCAATTTCTATCTTCAACAATTTAAGCTGCTGTTCGAGGTCAAATAAATCTTTATCCTAACCGTTTTTCTATGAATAGCAATAGAATCGTGAGGAAAGAAGCAATCGATGCCAACCAACCATAGATCTCCCCTCCAGGCTAGTGTTTTTTTCCCGCCGAAGTCGGGGAAACCGCAGGGATTTGGTAATTTTGACCAACTAGTACATGAAAAGACTCTGTGTAACCAAAATTTCCAGTGTCTCTAATATATATAAACGGGTTCGTTTGTCCGTCTGTCCGTCTGTCTGTTCGTTCGTAATTAATTTTTCGTAATTGAGCCCTTCTTTTCACAATTGTGGAAGTGGGAAAGTCTTTCCTATTTTAAATAACGTTTTACGGAAAGCAGCCGACCACAACCAGAGATAAAACTTGGGAATCTGTTCAATGTTCCTCCATTTCAATGTCTGGGATGTTCCTCCATTTCACGATCACAAAAAGAATCAAGCATCCCGTTAAAATCGTTAGAAAGCGAAAGAATCGGAAGAATCCGTGCGGCGCATATGGCGCCAACTGAAATTATTTTATTACTACCGTATTTCCTCTAATAAACGCCCCCCCCCCCTCGACCAACTTTGGACGCTTCGTTCTCAGCTCCATTTTGAGATATTATTATGTTTAATATACCAAAAGATAGAAGACATTAAGGGCTATCTTTTGGTTTATTAAACATAAAAATATCTCAAAATGGAGCTGAGAACGAAGCGTCCAAAGTTGGTCGAGGGGGGGGGGGGCGTTTATTAGAGGAAATACGGTAAGGAATCTTTCTCGTGGGAAGCTGTTCAATGCTTAAATTACGGATCGGGCTCTCTAGACTGACAGTAAAGTTGGCAAAGAATGAGTCTCAAGTCTGACGTTTTACGCTACTGAAAAACGGTAAGATTATTGCGAACGCTTGATAAACGAATATCTAGTGATAACGGCAAGGTAAAAAGCAAGATGAATGCTCGCTATTTCCAATTATATCCAAATTCTTAACCAGTACTCGTTTAGCATACGTAGCTAGAAACATAAATTAGTGAAATTTTGCGGAAAAACCTTAAGCCCACCATCTCGCCAACATTTGATGGTTGACACACTTGATGGAGCCTAGATCCACTCATTTTACAATCAATTCTACTCTTTGAACAACTTCGAGATCAACTACAAACACACAAAAACGATGATTTGCTTTTCATAGATTTTTCAGATTCTTTTGCTTCAATAAACGATTGCTAATTTAGATTTAAAATAGAAAAAAAATGCGTACACTGTGGTAGAGTTTATCAAGAAACTTCAAAAAAAATATAAAAAGCAGAAAAAGGCGTCACTTCTTCTTAATCAGACTTTCCGTTCAGAGAAGAGAATGGGTTTAAAGATAATACTTTTCTTTTCTTTTCCATTTGACCACTCCTTTCCTCTTTTCCAGCTACGATTTTTACAAATTTACTCAAGATGGAAATGGTTCCTTTTGGATCAATACTTGCTTTTGCTTTGGCAAAACATAATCCTACAAATCTTGTCGATTATGGTCTGTTTTTTCTAATATTACCTGAATGAATTATTGAATTGTTGGTACTTTAAAGAATAACACTAGTTCAGGCTAGTTTTTTTGGAGTGGTTTGAGTTCGGTGACGATAAAAAGCACCATAAGATTGATGGAGGTTAGCTGCTAGCTTGAATCAATGGGCGAATTCGAGCTTGCGATTCTTTGACAGTTTCTCTGCTAATCTGCTAATTGTAAATCTTGATTGAAGAAGAGAGATAGAGGAAAAAAGATCATCTCCTTCTCTAGTTAACCTGAAAAGATCATCTTCTTCTCTAGTTAACCTGCTAGATCATCTCCTTCTCTAGTTAACAGAAAAAGATCATCTCCTTCTCTAGTTAACAGAAAAAGATCATCTCCTTCTCTAGTTAACCTGCTAGATCATCTCCTTCTCTAGTTAACCTGCTAGATCATCTCCTTCTCTAGTTAACCTGCTAGATCATCTCCTTCTCTAGTTAACCTGCTAGATCATCTCCTTCTCAAGTTAACCTGCTAGATCATCTCCTTCTCTAGTTAACAGAAAAAGATCATCTCCTTCTCTAGTTAACCAAATACTTCCGAAGAAATTAGCCAAAATGTCAGATTGGAAATGTCAAAACGACGGTGTTTATATTGGTGGTGATGTTTGCAATTGTAAACCATATTTCTATGGAATTGTTTGCGAGAATCGAATCTGTATGAATGGTGGACACAATTATGGCAATGATCCGACACAGAGATGCGTTTGTCCTCCCGGGTTCATTGGGAGACATTGTGAACCAAGTGAGTGATTGCTTAAGAGCTAAGCTTTACTATTATTAGAAACATAACAATATGACCAAGAGTTTTCACTAGGATCATGCTCTGGTGATGGGAAAACCTTGAGAACTTTTGATCCAAGAGACAATTCGATGAGAAGTGTCTCCTATGTGCTCTCGTGGACAAATGATATAGCAAAAAAAGCACAAGGGAATCCAAATGATCAAGTGATTCATGGAATTTGTTCTGTTTTTGATCAAGGAATTGCTGAGGTTTATATCTATATAGCTCCAGGAGTTAGCAGCAAGAGATTCGGTTTGTCAATCTCATTCTTACAGGAAAATCTCTAGTTTAGAACAGAAAACTGATTGTGATGCTTTTCTCAAAGAGATTCTGGGAAAATGTTCGAATAATGGGATTTGTGAATTGACAACAATCAAAGGAGAATATATTCAAAAAGCGATTAGCGAGTCTTTTTCTAATTCACCGGTTTGTTTCAAGCTTAGCTTTTAAATTTTAAATGTAAGCTGAGAAAATGGATAGCTTTCAACTGGATAGAGAACTAGATAGCTTTGAACTGGATAGAGAACTAGATACCTTTGAACTGGATAGAGAACTAGATACCTTTGAACTGGATAGAGAACTAGATAGCTTTGAACTGGATAGAGAACTAGATAGCTTTGAACTGGATAGAGAACTAGATAGCTTTGAACTGGATAGAGAGCAAGATACCTTTCAACTGGATAGAGAACTAGATACCTTTCAACTGGATAGCAAACTGGATAGCTTTCAACTTTGAAATTCTTTCAGGTTTTTATCATTGGTAACACAAATCTCACAACAAGTGAATATCAAATGGAAAACATTGTACAATTAGCTATTTCCCTTGGAATTACGGTGACAATGACAAAGATTTTCTGGAAAAATAATCTAGATTAATACATTGCTTTTCTCTCCATCGGGCATTAATGATTTATCAATTTATCAAACAAATGGCTTTAAAGAATATGGAGAATTAGCTGAGAAAACTGGTGGTTGTTATATAACTTCTTATGATACAAAAGAGAGGAAATTGATTGGAAAAAATAACATTGCTGAGGTGAGGATTGTGAAGAGTGAACAATAAAGTCATTTGTTTAGTCTTTGTCATCAGTTTTTGATCTAATGACAACAAGAAAGCCAATCTTCCGAGATCCTTCAGGCTCAATTACTCTTTATTCTTCTGATAACATTATCTATTTTCATTTTACGATGAGTGGTAAGGACTTTAGCAATGTTTTTCAGGTTTCTTAATGTCCCTGAGCCTAAGCCTAAGCCTAAGCCTAAGCCTAAGCTTAAGCCTAAGCCTGAGCCTAAGCCTGAGCCTAAGCCTAAGCCTAAGCCTAAGCCTAAGCTTAAGCCTAAGCCTGAGCCTAAGCCTAAGCTTAAGCCTAAGCCTAAGCCTAAGCCTAAGCCTAAGCCTAAGTCTAAGCCTAAGCCTGAGCCTAAGCCTAAGCCTAAGCCTAAGCCCAAGCTTAAGCCTAAGCCTAAGTCTAAGCCTAAGCCTGAGCCTAAGCCTAAGCACTTTAGCAATGTTTTTCAGCTTTACTAATGTCTCTAGATCTCGAAACTCTACCCGATTACACCTTTCAACTCATTTCCCCATCACCATCTGAAATGACATGGGATCAACTCGAGAATGTTCTTGATACTGGATTTGAAAAGGTTTACACAGTTCATAAATCGACTTTTAACAGTTTTAGATCTATAAATATCCATTTCCTGATAGCGCTAAAGATTCAAAGATTTCTGTATTACTGCAAAAGAAAAATGATTCGATGACGAGGCTTAAAGTAAGAGATTTTATACTAAAACCTCTAAAAATAAGATAGATTTACGGGAAACCTTCATTTCCTTTATCTGTGGGAGTCTCAACAGCTGATCAAGTTGATTCATCTCATCCACATGCTGTTCCAATCAAAGATTTGAGTAAAAGTTTTTTGTTTTAAATGTGATACTAATTTCTAGATGGTCCATCACTTTTGGTTAGTGCTGGTGAAGGGATTTCATTGATTCAATCGAATCTAATGAATAATTGGATAATCGAGAGTGTAAGCAATTCAACGAGAAACTTCAAATGTTTGTATGAGAGTGTGATTGGAAGGGTGAAACAATGCGAGAATGGCACAATCAACTGGCTTTTGGTTGCTTTTTTGTTTAGATTCTTTAGATTCTTTAGAAATCTTGTTCATCTCAATTTAGTTGACTCAAAACTCAATTGGAAGCACCGGACTTGTGCCATTGTATTGTGGAGATGCGATTTATGGTAGCAGTGATTTTTGATTATAAGTTCAAGCTGAATATTCAGAATCAAGCAATAATCTGATTCATTTCAAAGAAGAGAACATAGATCAAATGGAGATTGTGATGAATGCTGAGAAAGCTCAAGAGAATTTTGCTTTTGAAGAGATTTGTCAACATGGATCACTGGTTAGAACAATCAGCTGGCTTTAAAAGCCAGCTGATTAGCCAAATCTCTTTGTTTTGGCTTCTTTGAGTATTGAAAAGTTGTGCAAAGCAATTGCTTTAGTACAAGAACGCATGTGCTTGTAATATTGGTTGGATTGGTGCCTCTTGTGATGTGCCCGATTGTCAGAATGATGGCAAAGTAAATGCAGGAGGGACTTGTGATTGTCCTAATTGGACAAGTGGTCTTTTCTGTGAAAAAAGTTAGTGAAATGCTTTGATAAAGTGAGTGAAGAATTCAGTTCTAAACTCGACTTGTGATCCGGTAAACACGTTTGCTGAATGGCGCTCACAAATCGGTTCTCTTATCTTTGTCATCGAGGAATCTCTCGACGTGCAGATCAATGTGCAAAGTTGGATTGATTCGCTCAAAGGAATGAATCGATTAGCTTTAACGAATTCGTTTCAAGCTTCACAAATCGTTCTTGTAACTTGTGAGTTTATTAAGTTTTTGATTTTGATTCTGATTTTGATTATAATCAATGTTTTAGACTCGGATTTGTTGGTTACCGCGAGATTCGCAAGCAATGATCCACGTGGAATTGTTCGAGCATTTCAAGACATTCAATGGATCGAGAAAATGAATGGAGAGAAACAAGAAGAGGCTTTGATAACTGGATTGCAATTACAGGTGAAGAATAATAGGGATTTCAAGGCTTTTTTGGGTTGGTGAATTGAAAACTGCGGGCTATTGTCATATGTGACAGTTTGAGCACTTTCTTTAAAAGAAACCCATTTTGGTGCCAATGGAAAAGTTGTAGAGAATCAAAAATCAAGCTTATATCCAAATTTTCAGAACGATTCAAAAACTGGTTTTCAAGAAATGCGAAATTTACGAATTTTCACAAAACTTGCATTTTAAGCGAAACTATTAAGTGTTTCTTTTTGGAAATTTGGCTATAAACCTCATTTTTGATTCTCTACAGCTTTTCTATTGACACCAAAATGGGTTTCTTTTGAAGAAAGTCCTCAAACTGGAACATTGGGACATCTCCAGTCCTCCATTTTTGAGTCTCACACTTGTCTCACACACAAACCAAAATTCTACCACGAAAGAGGAATCCGCAAATTGCCTGGAAAATGGGCACGAGTCGTCAATAATAATAACGTCAATAATAACGCACTGTATAGCGCTTTGAAGCTGGAAATTCAGAGGAAAATTCCTATGCATAAACCATTCTCAGCAGACATTTATAATCACACCCAAAACAAATTTTAGTTCAAAGTCCCGCAGTTTTCAATTCACCAACGCAATATTTTAGACAACTGATCGATCTTTTCTCATCTGGATTACTTCTTCATTTCAAAATGATTCCTCTTCAAAAAGCGATATTCAAAAGAAACTTTTCAAAAAGATTTCCGATCAAAGAGCTGATTTGAGAATTTATACAACAAAACAGGTTTTGAAAGTGATCGCTTTTGAATTAGTCAACCTTTAGACTAAAACTCATTCACTTTTGAATCAATTGTCGATGCTCACTGTTTCAGTTCCAATCATTTTACAAAATAAGAACAGTTTTCAAAAGGTTTGTGCTTTTTTAAAGCTTTAAAATCAATTTCATTTACAAATTTTCACTGACTACATCTCTGCTTCACTAACTGTTATCAATCAATTCACTCCAAATTCAAATACAATCGATTTCTCGACAAACTGCGATCTAAGCAAATCACCAACATGGGTCAGTCTTCAATTTTGTACCCTTAATAGCTGATGACTTAGTTAAACAGAACCGATTTTAGCTTTATATTCCGACAATGACTTCAAAAGTTTTCATCTCCACACAATCACTCACTCCAATTATCAACCCAGCAGGTCTTTTTAAAACTTTTCCATCCCCATTCCACCCCCATTCCATCCCCATTCCATCCCCATTCCACCCCCATTCCACCCCCATTCCATCCCCATTCCATCCCCATTCCACCCCCATTCCACCCCCATTCCATCCCCATTCCATCCCCATTCCACCCCCATTCCACCCCCCATTCCATCCCCATTCCACCCCCATTCCACCCCCATTCCATCCCCATTCCATCCCCATTCCACCCCATTCCACCCCCATTCCATCCCCATTCCACCCCATTCCACCCCCATTCCATCCCCATTCCATCCCCATTCCATCCCCATTCCATCCCCATTCCACCCCCATTCCACCCCCCATTCCATCCCCATTCCACCCCCATTCCACCCCCATTCCATCCCCATTCCATCCCCATTCCACCCCCATTCCACCCCCATTCCATCCCCATTCCACCCCCATTCCATCCCCATTCCATCCCCATTCCACCCCCATTCCATCCCCATTCCATCCCCATTCCACCCCCATTCCACCCCCATTCCATCCCCATTCCACCCCCATTCCACCCCCATTCCACCCCCATTCCATCCCCATTCCACCCCCATTCCACCCCCATTCCATCCCCATTCCATCCCCATTCCATCCCCATTCCACCCCCATTCCACCCCCATTCCATCCCCATTCCATTCCCATTCCATCCCCATTCCATTCCCATTCCATCCCCATTCCATCCCCATTCCATTCCATTCCCAATTTCCTTTTTAGATTCTTACATCTTGGAAGAAATCGATTCCAGCATTTTTTCGATTAATGGTTTGTTTAAACAACAACAATCAAATAATCAAATTCAATCTTTAGCTACTGATCTTGGCGGAAATCATTTAAGCATCACTTTTACGGCAGATCTTGATGCAACTATGTGCAGTTATTCAATTGAAACGCTCAATGTTGAACAAATCGCTTATGGAGTGACGGATGAGTTGATGAAAGAGGCAGATATGGGCAATTCAATGATGCCAAATGGTGGGTTGAAGAAACACGAACTTACAAAGTTCAAATTCAAACAAGAAAACCGTGACTTTCATCAAAATCTATAAAAATCTAGATAAAAAGAAATTGATTGAAGCAGTTTCTCTAAAAATTTCGCTATAAACCAAACTTTTTATGCTCTATCTTTTATCTATTGACAAAAAGATAGGTTTTCTTTAGATAAAATGCCTAACGTATCATCGAGCCGACATCTTTTTTGACTAACCAACTTGAAACTCTTAAAAAAATCCAGATTTTCCAGAATCTGACATTTTAAACCGATTTTAATGTTATTTTACAGAAAAATAATTGATAATCAAAGAAATCTGGCGCATTTATTGGCACAACAAATCTGGTACAATTGACGCATTTGTTGGCGCAACAAATCTGGTACAATTGACGCATTTTTTGGCGCAACAAATCTGGTACAATTGACGCATTTGTTGGCGCAACAAATCTGGTACAATTGACGCATTTTTTGGCGCAACAAATCTGGTACAATTGACGCATTTGTTGGCGTAACAAATCTTAGTTCAATTGGCACATTTATTGGAGCAACAAAGCTGGTTTAATTGGCACATTTGTTGGCGCAACAAATCTGGTTCAATTGGCGCATTTGTTGCCGTAACAAATCTGGTTCAATTGGCGCATTTGTTCGCGCAATGGCGCAACAGATCTGGTTCAATTGGCGCATTTGTTGACGCAACAAATCTGGTTCAATTGGTGCATTTGTTATTTTAAACGAAAGAACAAAAAGACTTTCCGGACAGCCTAATTAGTACCAATTTCTCAACTTGAAGCTCTCAAAAAAAACCTCAGACTTAACACATTCAAAACTCGTTTTAATGTGATTTTGAAGAAAATCAAATTAAAATTGACCTTGCTAATGAAAGAAATCATAGTTCAAAACAGCAACCATTAATACAAGCTGGGAAATAGATTGGATGAAGAGCTCTATGCTGTAATAAAGTTAGAGTTTAGGCGATCACTGGCTGAACATTCGATGGAGTGGAATTGATGAGTACCGTCAGTACACATTTGATGCGAATGATGTATAGGGTTTAGAGAAAAGCATTTCCAATCATTTTAGTCCTATCAAAATGTTCAACAATGGCCAGTTTCCACGAAGAATGACTACTATGAAATTGATTGGTCAATTCCTGGAAAGAACACAATTGCTATCGTTCTCAATTCAACCCAATGCACATATCGATATTCTCCAAAAATGTTGACTTGTAATGGGCCTATAAATGGGTTTTTGAATCGAGTAGGTAATGATTTGGTCATGATTTTCAATTTAAATCAGATTTTCACCGCATCACCTTTCAAAGAGAATTCTCATCTTCAAAAAATGATTTTTATTCCGTGTCTGGATTTCGATTTAAATAGTTCTTTTTTTTTGATTATTTTTATAAAACTTTAACATAACCTTTAAAGTTTGCAAAAATAATGGCACATTGGTGAATGAGAAATGTGTTTGTTTAAAACATTGGCGAGGATATGATTGCTCTGTGAGTTCTTGTTAATTATTGAAACCATTAGTTACCTTCTTCTTTAGTTACCAGTTTGTTTGAGTGGAGGGACACGAAATGGAGAGATCTGCAATTGTTTACCGGGTTTCTATGGGGTCAATTGTGAATGTAAGTCATTTATATGGTTTTACTTGAAGCAATCTGCCATTGCACAAGCGCTCATTTGGTAATGATCAAGAAATCCAACATAAAAGCTCTGTAGAAAAGTTTCCTCAGCTATCAACCAGTTAAGACTCAATAAAATGAATGTATTAAAACCATTTTTGTGTTAGTTAGCAGTTTGTTTAAATGGTGGGACACGAAATGGAAAGATCTGCAATTGTTTACCGGGTTTCTATGGGATCAATTGTGAATGTATAAGTAATTTACATTGGGTACCGATCAGAATCAGGAAATCCAGGTTAAAAGCTCTGTAGAGCTTCTCAGCTAAGCTCCTCAGCTAAGCTAAGCTCCTCAGCTAAGCTAAGCTCCTCAGCTAAGCTAAGCTCCTCAGCTAAGCTAAGCTCCTCAGCTAAGCTAAGCTCCTCAGCTAAGCTAAGCTCCTCAGCTAAGCTAAGCTCCTCAGCTAAGCTAAGCTCCTCAGC